AATGAATCCCCAAAATAATATCAGCCCCCGAGAAATCCAATGGGTGGAGATCCACCACAAAATTATGGCCCTGTATGAGGATTTTTTCCTTCTTACATACACCATTACACGACATCTAACTCCCATTAGCCACATGGATTGAAAAGAGAGGAGTGGGTTGTATGGCCATACTTAGCTGCTTAGCCAAACAGCAAGTGATGACATTCAGGGTAGAGCCACTATCAATCAAAATCATCACGGTCCGACCCACCAATCTTCCTTCTACGCGCATGGACTGAAGAGAGGTGAGGCCCATGAGGGCGTGTAAGGAGATCTCGGCCCCGTCAAGTTCTGGTCCGTCTGGAATCAGTTCACAGTCATTTAAGTGCTCTGGGTCTATCTCTTCCGGCTCTTCCTCTGTCTGTAGGAGAAACACCCGCTGGACCCGGCATTTATGGCCCGGTCCAAACTTATCATCACAGTTATAACAAAGGCCTTTCTCGCGTTGGGCTTGCATCTCAGCCCATGAGAGGTTTGAAGGGCATAGTGGGCCGGGGCAATATGGGCTTCTGATGATCCCCAACCAGTTTCATGGGCTGCTGATGACCCGTGGAGGAGTCCTCAAATTCGGGTAGGTCGGTTTGCTAGCTCTACGAAGGTCGTTGATTCTTTCTTCTTGCAGGCGAGCCAATCCCACCGCAGCCATGACAGTCGCTGGACGGAGAGCCCTCACCTCCAGACGAATATCCTCTTTGAGACCTCCCACAAAACATCCTACTAAGGCTTTCTCCGGCCAGCCGTGTACCTTGGTCGCCATCCGCTCGAACTCGAGCTGGTACTCCGCTACTGTTCTAGTCTGCTTCAACTGAGTGATAAGCTCGTCGTAGTCCACGAATGCCGTCGGCCCAAAGTGGATGCACAAAGCTTCAGTGAACTCCGCCCAAGTTACCTGGGTATGATTCTGGCGACACCACTGGAGCCATAGAATCGTGTCTCCTTCTAGATGAATGGAGGCAATGGAGACACGCTGGTGTGCAGGAGTTTTGTGGTATTCGAAATATCTTTTTGCTCGGAAGATCCAGGGAATGGGATCTCCACCGGAATAGTTGGGAAAGTTGATCTTAGTGACTTTTCCGATGGGGTAATACCTTGTTCTTTGGCTACTGGAAGCAGAGGCTTCCGCTCCTGCTGGGTGACTGGTCTCGCTGGACTGTTGCTGAGAGTCGAAGCTGGAGACGACCACTTTGAGTTCCTTGAGTTCGTTCAACACCTGGTGGAATCCAACCTC